TTCAAATACTTAATGTAACTTATAAACTAAATAAGAGATACATGTACTTCAACTAAGCTAACTGTTTGTGGATTACGAAATATCAGTGTAAAATGTCGTTAAATCCTGTCATCTAGTGCACCAAATTTAATTATTGTATCCTTAGAGTCATTTCTTCAATCAATTTTTATCCTTACTGGTAATATATATATATATATATATATATATATATATATATATATATATATATGACAATGCAAATTTGACACAGATTTCAAGTTGTGTAAAACTAACTGAGCCGTATGTTGTTCGTACGAGTTGGAAACATTCTTATTCATTTCAGTGTACTGAATAACTTGGATACAATCATCTCGATTAAATATAATATAATCTCTCATTGAAAGCTAATTAACTGAATACGGTTTTGCATGCATAACTTGATTTTAGGTTATATATTTAATGATGTGAATTCTTTTCGTAACATCTGTCTTATATGTCAACTACTTGTCGAAATATTTTAGAAAGGTTATTTATAATCATCATCAAACGACTAATTCTGAAGAATGTACGCCTGATGATTCAGATGATGAAACAACTTCAACCACCAAAAACTGGAAACAGTTCCTTCAGAACTATGATACCAAAATAACAGAATTATTTATTTATTTGCTAGTTAATTTTGAGCTTCCATCTTCTGGTGAATTGTTAACCTTCTTAGAATCATACAACGACTATGCTATTGAACACGTACTGAAGGTATGCTTGTCTGACAATTGATTATTTTTAATCAGAATATTAATTCATTTTTGTTTCCTTCGTGAATTTTATTGTATCCCAAAAAAGGAAATAAAGCATTTTTGGTATGTTAGGTTTCTAACTGTCATATTGTTCAGAAAATTCCGTTTAAACTTGCATTTTCTCATTTGATCAGAAACAATTGGAAAGTGGATATTATGATTTCTAGTATTTATTTTATATGATTCTATTAAGTTTCCCCTCATAAATTCATTTCAATCGATTATCATTTGACGAGACCTTATCAAGATTATGTGTTTCAAAAGCATTATGACCGCTTCAATAAAGTGAATCCCTCATACCTAGTAGGAAGAAGAAACCCGATTGGCCATCAAGTAATTTATAATATTAACTTATTATCCATATCTCAAATACTACAGTAGTAATGGTACAAAAGGCTGTAGCCTGTGAAGAAAAGCTGGATTGTGTCTCAACCTTTTAAGCAGTTCCTTAACTAGTGTTGTTAACCCATCATCGGCTTCATTTTTATCGTTGGTGTTTCTATTTTAACTCGTATCATGATTTCACTTATATAAGTGTTCCTTACCATGGAATTTGACGGTTGGCACGGAGCACGTCGACATCATAGTCTTTTTGGTAAGGATGCGGACAAAATTCAAAATCGTTTGAACACCATGATTGTCAGTATATGTTTTTCATATGTTACCAACTCCCTAAATTCAAAAATGCTTTAGGATTGGGCTACTTCGTTGATTAATTTGACGATGATGATGGAAGTATTGGGCGAGTTGGACACCTCACTTATATTTGTAGTTTCATCAGTTCTGATGGCTTGATATATAGTTTAAAAGATTTCAACGCATTTAAGTAAAACTCGTTTGGCTTTTAGTATTATTATTATTATTATTATTATTATTATTATTATTATTATTATTATTATTATTATTATTATTATTATTATTTCAACACATAAATATCGGTACAAGAGGGCACCAAATATATATGCGCCACAACATATTTGTGTGTGTGGGCTGTGATACTACCCGGGTGCCCAGACCGAAGCAGGTGGTTTTCTTAGGGGGTCAATCCCCGAGCCTTTGACCTAAAGGTCTGATCCACAAGGGAATGGAACATCGTGAGGAGATGCATACCCATTGTAGCCGGTGACCAGCGATTGGTTCATACGCCATTTGTTCCCTCAGGATACTGGAGCCCATGTGCACCATTGGTTTGGGATCCGGTTAAAGCGCCGGACATTCGCTTTTCGTCCTCTCATTTTCGTAAACAACACCCCCGCCACGAGAAGGCAATGAGTAGGACTTCCCTGGCAGAGGCTGTATACGCGTGGCCGTGTGGCTTTTAGAAACTGAACTTGAGTGAAAACTTCATTTCGGTGATCATGTTTCACAGCAGTCTTTCGTGTAACAATTTACAAATATAGTCAAACCTTTGACTAATCGTTCCAGATGTTAGTTGTAAGTAGTAGTGTAATTGTGGGGAATCAGTTGATGAATTTATGGTTTGTCTCTTCCTACCTCAGTATTCTCTGCTTGATAGCGTTGTAATAAATTAACTAAAACTTACCAGTCGAATTAAATACATGAAATCGGTCGATGTGGTCCTTGACCCTTACTATTGTCTAGCCATGTGCAAACTTTCTTCCTAATTCCCGTGAGAAAGTCGTCTCATTGACGCTACTCTATTTTTGCATTCATCTAGGTCTTGAGGATTGTTCGAACGTATGTTTGTCATCCTTCTTCTTTTACATCTTTCACTTTATTGTTAGCTTCATTGTTTTCGTTAGTTTTGCGTTCATCCTGTTGATTTCTCGTCACTGTACTAACGTGAGGTATGGCAAATCAGACGTAGTTCCACTTATGCTATGTTCTGTCTTGTCTTCAGTAAATGAAATGTATGTAATCCTGTTGTGTAAACTTTGGTTTTTCAGGTTTTATCGGTGGAAAAGTACCCGATAGAGGTTGCTTATCTATATGAAAAGTCTGGAGATTTATCCAAAGCTACAGAGTTGTATGAACAGGTTTGATTTCGGTTCTTTATACTCATTATATATACTTATACTTATATATTTATTTATATTCTCTTCATCGTTAACAATTGACAGATATAAGCATATATTAGCTGTTTCAGCATATCTGTTTGCTGAGCATACCACGTAAATTCTTCTTGCATCGGTAGTCGCGTAAGTTCATAATAAACTCTAAGTGTTCATGATCTCTCAGGGGCTAGTATTAAGCACCATCCTATAACGCTTGATACTTTCAGTCAACTATGTGACAATCTTCGTTCTATAGTGGTATAACATCTATTGATATTTTCGTTATCGAAGCTGGCTCGGTGAGTACATGGGTTTATGCAATGGTTTACAGATACACTCTGTTTAAGGCTAATGACCTTGAATCATCTGATGCGTAAGCTGAAGTTTCCTTAGGTTTACAAACCTAAATTTCGTCCAAAGATAAGCACAAAATAATGCAATCTGGATAGTTTGATTATGTAAAGAAACCCACCATCCGTTTATTCTTCAACTACGTTAAATTTTACAATAGCCTGTCAATTTACATTCGATACTAATGATCAATAAATTTATCGTATATTAGACCTATAGATGTACCTATTAAACAGTTATGGAAGGGGCAATTAATAGTAAATACTGCGTTCGAAACCGATTTTATTACGGCATTATCAAATCACAGTAAGTAAGCTGTTTATTAGCGTAACAACTATTAAGTTCTACTAGCAATAAAGTACTGTTATCATATTTAAACTGAAAAAGCTCTGTAATCCTTCACTTATTTTTTAGATATTTTCTGAAACGTGGCAAAAACTAATAAAAGAGGAGTGTAAGCTTCGAAAAACCTCTGTAGATTTTACTTCTGTCAGCCTTCATAACTCGGGTGACCAATCGGCAACTATCATCAACTCTGTGTTACAAAAACTATATGATAATGTTCATCAAGCGAATCAACGTCTTGTAAATTTCTGCCAGCGAAGATGTGCACAAACTAACGATCAGTCAGAAATCGAAGTGAGTTGAGATGTGTTTTCATGATATTTATGCTAAAACAAATGCATTTCATTTGAGGGTCTGGAATAATCTTCAGCTGTTCTAATCTTACAGAATTTAAATCATCTGAATTGTTATTAGAAAGAATTCCTAACTGATTGAGCTACTGTTTTCCAAAATGACCACGCACTCATAGGATACAGCCTTCAGTGAACATAGCACCACCTCGTCGCTGTTAATTAAAGTAGTAACGTGAAATTCAGGATGACAGACCATATCCCGTGCACTGTTTTTAATTGCTTATGTTAGTTTAAAACATTATTTATGAGTTGTTTTTTTTGCAATCTGTTCTAGTGCATTTCTTTTTCAGTTTACCATTATAAATCACCCTCACTTATCATGACTCTTCGTACAGGGTTACCAAAATCATTTTTAAGTTAAATGTGTAGGAGCTGTTGAAGTCCTAACTAGTATGACTTTTCTCAGTACATGGGACATAATATATGCTAAGAAAACTGAAACTACCTTTCACACTGGAAGCGGGATGGTACTTTCTTATTGGTGATTATATGTTCATTAACTACATGCTGATGTCTTCATTATAACATTGACTTGGTTCATAATGACAATGAGGGTTTGAGATTAGACCATCTGACTTCCAAACCAACATCGTACAAACTATACACAATTTATAAGTCTTTTCATCTCTTAAAAACTCGCCAAGCCCCAAATCATTTCGAATTATCATTTAATTTCATTGTTCAGTAATTTTTCTTGTTTTTCCTTTTATAGGGTATATGGTTTAGTGTAATTGATTTACTAATGAAATGTGAATTCGTACAAAATCATCCCGTGCTAAACGCCCAGTTGAGTAATATATTCTATAATTCTTTCTCATTAGTCATGACTTACTTACCGCCAACTGTGATCGTTTCGCACATCTTGGACGTAAGTAAACATTTTATTAGATATCTTGCTTTTATATCGTACAGCTTGATAGTATAAAAACATATCGTAGAATTTCTCTCTTTGGTTAAAATCATCTTTCACCGTTATTTTTGTTCATAATTGGTTTATATCTTAAGCGTTATTTTACGCTCGTACATCCTTTCTGTCTTCAGCAACATAATTTAGTGGTTAGTTACAGTTTATGGTGTGTAGAGTGACATTATTTCATGCTGACTTTAATTTCGAGCCCGTCTAAACAGATTTTCTGCGATCAGTAGTCAACAAGATTGTGTAAATGTAGTTAGAATAGTATATTTTAAGGAATAAATATTATGACATTAACTAAATCTGATTGATAGTAAACGTGAAACTCAAACCAAACAGAACATCGTACACACTATAATTGACCTACTCCTGCATATCTTTCTTAGATTTCGAGTTGAATGATTTCATTAATGCTAAATGTTTTATTCATCTATTAAAGATATATTTCATTGAATTTAGTCTTTAACATTTCATTCTTACATGATTTAGTATCTGTTCGATGGTTGAAGCAGAAAATTCTCTCGGAATAGTTTGTACTCTCTAAGATGGATACCTCTGAATACAAAATTTGATATTAATAATAATCGAAAATGAGAATTACTCTCATACATGTAGGATTTTTCAAAAGCGTTTCTTCTTGTTCATCCTGATCTTGAGTTCTAGTTTGAACAGTCTGTAAGGCATGTTTTTGTTTCATATTTTTACTTGAAGCTCCGAACAAAAGGTTTTATTAAATGTTACATTCTTTTACCTTAATTGAGAATCCTAATTTCGTCTGTTCACATTACACTGACTGATCTAATAATCAGTAGTAAATGACCATTTCTAAAAAAACACATGAGAAATGCTTGTTTCATGTACGTATTTTATCCCGTATTTTTAGATTAATGGGACAGAAATTACAGTAAACTCCAAAATTAATTTATTGGTGAAGAAGTTTATATCAGCCTGTCAATTCGAGGCAAATCAGATGGTAATTAACAAACAATTAGCAGGAAAAGAGTTAACTTCCAAGCAACTTCGAATATTTAAAGAGTACAATTGTGGTTTTAGTAATCGAAGCCTTATTTGCTCTACATGTGGATTAGACCTTCGAATAAACAATTTACTGACTAGACGAGAATGGGAAGCAAAACGTATGATGAGTAATGATGACAAAGCTTTGAGTGCTAAACGTGTAATAGTATTTCAGTAAGTTGATATTCGGTCTTTTGCCGTACACACTACATACATTTACTTCTTATGATACAAGTTTTGTGCTATCTGCTAACAGACAAACGAACAGTTAAATCACACACGTCGTTATGGCTTTTTTAAAATTTATATTGATCGGTAGGCACGTAATGAATTCGTTGAGTTTGTCAGTATGTCAAATAAAGGCTGTGTTGAATCATTGTAATCAGTCAGCTACAACGTAGGACCAGGCACATATGTGCAGCGGTCCAAGTTGACATACCTCAGCACAACAAGATGAACACCGCATTCATAGAAGTAGGTAATTCAGTGGTGGTGTCTAGTGCTTCTTTAGCTTCAGTTTGACCTTAGCAGTCACAATCAGATGGTGATCTAAAGCTGTTAGCCCCTGGTTCTCACATCTCCCATGGACCTTTCGAGTTTTTCATTGGTGCAATTACTATCGACCTGATTCTCTGTAATGTGGTCCAGTGAAACTCATGCTGCCTTGTGTAAACATGTGTAGGGGTGAATGGTGCCACTTGTAGCCATATTGTTGAAAACAAATCCCTCACCATTCTCGTTCCTTCCTCACAGTCCGTGTTGTTCCATGATATCTTCTTATCCAGTGTTGTCCATTCCGAGTCTAAGTCTCCCATCAGGATGGTCTGGTCCTATTCTGAGCACTTTTGTAGAATGAACTGCAGCTCCATAAAACTAACATTTATTATTTGGGCTGTCATCTTTGGTGAGCACATTGCACTGAATGACATTAATTTTAATCCCCTCTTTGTTTTGCAGGATGATTTGATGATCTATGAGATTCCCATCCTATAAGCAATTTTCGCACTTCTTCGCATAACATTATTGAAACTTCTTTTGTGTGCAAATCATTTCCTTCTTTGTGACTACAATACAACAGTATCTCTCCCGAAGTTATTTATTTCGGTTCATTTTGAGTCCAGTGGGTTTCATTTATTACGCAAACCTCCAAGTTGTATCTTTTTATTTCTTAAGCTACTTGGGCCTTCGGGTCTCCCACATTGCCCATACACCATGTACATCTTCATTGTTTGTTGTTCTGGTTATCTGGATGCTCCTAGACTTTCAAATAATCTCGGCTATACCATGAGGCATTATAAGTTCTCTATATTTAGACCCTTCAATTTTCATCCAAGAGTTGAAATTAATTCGTCTAACATAGCGTATTTTGGACGAAATACGCTGCTAACTTTACGCCTGACCCTCTTCATTCATACGGAGTTGGGACAAGTGGTGACCCTAGTGGCGTCCAGGCTGAGTTAAACCATTGATTTAGCTGTTCGCTACTTTAGTAAGTTATCCAAACAATTTTTTTTGTCATATCACTTCATTATTTAACTGAATCTTAATTTCGGTAGATTATCTTATTCCTTTTATTCTTCAGCTGCCATCATGCGTTTCATGAAAGATGTTTGAGGGAATTCCAGTGTAAGACTGATACACCTGCATCTGTGGTTCATTTTTGGTCATGTTCAATATGTCGACCCGTAAGCTATCCTGCAGTTAAGACTAATTGTTTTTATGATGATATGGTCAAATTACACTCGGATGAAATCAAGGTAGATAATCCTACCCAGTCGTCTACAAAAAATGAGGAGAACATTCTGTTTTAGGTAACTATATTATATTAGCTTCATACTTTTCCACTTCTAATGTATTCGAAATCGTATCTCACAGACAATTAGCTATCTAGCATTGGTCCACTCAAACATTGTCACTGTTTGGGATTAACCTCAGATGTTTAGCATCTTCAGAATATCGTGCTAATCTTCACTGATTTTGAATAATAGTTCAAAAGAGCTGTCCGAAATGTGGAAACGAGTGTTGAAACTAAAGTCTAATAAAAACTGAAATGCTACAAATTCCAAGCTTGTTATTAAAGCTATAAATCCCGTTTTCTTTCAACTCTTGAACCAACAAATTGAAAATCTAAATTATATATAATATAGATTTCTGAGAACTTTGTTCATGATACTTTTTGAAGAAGCCAAAAAGGTCGCACCGATGATGAGCTTTCTAGGTAAAAGTATCTTGCTGGCGAACCTGAGCAACGACAATGCATCTTAGATTTTGACGCAAAATAAAAACCTGATTAAAGTTAGGTTTTTTTACTATATATCAAATCAAAATTGTCTATATCTACTTCCTAAAGTTAATAAAAGCATCTTTTGGTCAACTGTATATGGAGTTGACTAAATATCACTACCTACAAAAAATATTTGCGGCTTATAGCTCAATGTACGAACATGTACCTAGGTTACGATGTAACTCTTTTACTTTTGCAAATTAAATACTTTGATTTTCAACTTTTCTAAATCTTCAGATTGATACTGACCCACTCGTACACAAAGTTTTATTTGTCCTTCGAGAAACTAATTCGGGAACATGGTATATAACAGCTATGCATCAATACCTGTGATAAATTCCTTGCTTCTCTTATCGCTTAATTTGTTAGTGATTTCCATATGTTCGTATCATAATTTATTTTCTTGTATATGCTTGCCAAATTTTACAGAAAAATATTTCAATATTCGAATATTTCTTGTTCTTTTGATTTGCTTTAGTATTTAACCCTAAAAAGGAGGAAACTTATGTGCAAGCATAAGCCGATTTTATTCGTCAGTGCTTATTAATTACAAAGTGTAATTTTGGTTAAATGTATGGACCGGGTAGTCACTTGTCTGTAGAAATCGCATCGCTCAGTGGTCAAGCGATCGCGTGCAAGACTGATAGGTCCTGGGTTCGAATCTCGCGGAGGGCGAGATCGTATATGCGCACTGCTGAGCAATCCCGCAATAGGACAAAACGGCCGTCCAGTGCTTCCAGGTTTACTATGGTGGCCCAGCTTCAATTGACTCGTGATCTCAACCATTGAAATTACTATAAATATCCACAAAACCCCTTCTGATCTTAAACAATTATGCAAAATAATTTGATAACTATGCAAAAGACTTAACCTCGACTTTTTTTATGAAATCGTACAAAATACTTAACTTCTAGCGTGTCCATGTTAAAAAAAACTTGACTTAACTGTTTGCCAAGAATTCAGGAATATTATAGGAGTTCTATACAGGAATGCTATGTAAGATGAGTGTATACAACTAATTGGTACAGAAAAGCAATGAAGTTAAACAGAATTCCCTGATTTCCTCACAGAGGTTATTGTAACGACAACTTCAAGATGGGGACACAATGGTGGTGTGGACCCACTACCCAGAGAGGTTTTCACCTTCATCCTCCGTTCAATATATTCGTATCTACTGTCAAATCATGATTTACAAATGATTGGTTTCGTTTGACATGCTGATCGAAGTTATTTTTCTTAATGTGAGTGGTTCTTGATAAAAACGAACTACACCTTATTCCAAACAATATCACACCTTTGGAGACTGATTTACTTTTATATTCAATGTTTATTTCTGATAAGTCTTCCAACTGAATGCGAGAATCAGTTTCCTAAGCTCTTCTAATAAACCCAGGTTAATTCCACACGGCAACTTGAACACGACAAAAAAGGCGCGAAGTGTAGAGAGGACGTTTTACTCCTAAGTTAGTTAAGGTACAGAAAAATAGGGGTATTCATACTATTTCAAACGCCCTTGAGCTTCCGGAACCATACTAACTATAGTAGCCTCAAAGGTAATTATCGGATCCAAACCGTGGCAAGTGATTCTGTGTTTTCTAGGTCTTTATGCGAAGATTCAACAAGTTTTCTGTGTCTCTATAGGCTTGTCGAGGTATATCTTTGGGACCCCTCCAATATCGCTAAAAAGCATGACTTCTCGCGTTTACCTGTAGTCTGGTGACTGATCTGCGGCGGCATCGTCCTTCTCTTAATGTGTTTCTTTCGTTTTCATCCCAAGTCCTCACCTTGCAAGTGTCCAAAAGTATATCCAGTGGCAGATTCGTTTGACCACCTCTAGTGTTTATCGTTCTTTTATCTTTATGAGCCTGGTTCATATGCCTAACAAATGTTCGGAAGGCTCCTCCCACCTTATACAAAACTCTACCCAATTTTAGCACAATAATCCCTGGTTCCCATCGATTTTGGCCATGATCCGACTTCATAAATACTCTTCTCTCCGTGTCAAGACTGCGACTGGAGCATAGCGTTAGAAACCGTCCAGGTGCAGGCAGACAACTAATTGTGCTCAGATGTAAAACACTTCATTCGATAAATAAGTTAACTTGGAGGAAGCTAGGATTCCGGCAGTTTACACAAAATCAAGATTTTTCCAAAGTCAAATAAAAAAGAGATTATCAGAGCATAACGAAACCCGTTGCATTCCGAACGTTATACCATTTTCTGCCTATTGCTTAAAAAGTTAATCATGCAGGTTGCTGCTGTGATTCATCAACTTTGATATTACTCATCATTATAGTAGAAACTTAGCTGTTATATAGACAAACTTATGCCCAAAATGTGACTCAAAAAGAAGCAGGTAAGTTTGACTTACAATTCGCTAATCTTTTTTGGGTGCACAAATCAATGCCTTTGTCACATACTGAACACTACAATGTCCGACATAACTCTTTTATATCACCTAAGTGAAGTTATACTGACGAAAAAAAAATTTAAGTAGAGTTGGTACTTACTTTTATGTTTGTCAGTTTAGTTTGAATATTACTAATGTAGCTGCGACCTGGACGTATTTGTGAAAACTAGATTTAAAATTTTAATTTACACGAAATATTACGTTTACGAAACGTAATATTGTTAACAGATAAAACCGTAACAAACGGTGTGTTTATGTCGTGATCTTCGTCTAATATAAAACCCACTAAACAAAGATCAAAGATGCCATTCAAGATTTCGTGACATTAGGCTTCCCAAACTATTTAAACAGCTAAAATTACGGTCAACTGTTATCTTATTTATCAAGTCGGAACAAAAAGAATATACAAAACAAGTTGATCGAAACAAATTAAGCTCTGATCATTTTCACGATGTATCGCATTACCCCAGAAGTTGTCAATTTGAAAGTAGTTGTCTGAAACACGCCTAGATTCTCGACATAAGTTAACCAGTCAAAAATGTTACCTCCAGGTCCGTAAGAAGCTTTACAAGCTAACAAAACGATCCCAGATTGACATAGACTAGTTTCAAGTATGTTGTGCAATCTTTCATACAGGTCTGTGCGGTAAATTGTTTCACTAGTAAAGATATAGTCAAACTTCACATTGGCGCTTGACTGCCAAAGCTTTGAAAGATGAAACCAGTCCCCGCTGTAGAATTCCAACTGAGTGTGTTCATTGTGGCTATCAGCATCATTTTGAGATCCTGAATTAATGATGACGTTAGGAATAGTCCAGCACTTTAAAACTTCGGAATTGTAATCCTTAAAAAAGAAAATAGTAAAAATACTGGTGAGAAAATGTAGTAAAGTGTGGCAAACTCTTCACAAAAACATTCACCACATGCAGACTTTCTATAGGACTTCACCATTCCTTTCGACCTTTAAGATGCTAGTGAGCTTTTATGTTAAATAATCAGATATAATTTACCTAGACACTTTCGGAAATAAACTTTAAAACTCCTATGATAAAATACTTTCATTCAATATTTAAATCGCAACCCGAGGACGTTATGCAACTCGACCAAATATTTCTTATCAAGATAAGGCTATAATATTACGCCAACACAACGCTGACTTAAAACAACCCGCTTACTTGGAACCTAACTAAGCGGGCACCAGCCTTGATAGCGAATATACCTGGTAGTCCACAACCGCAACCTACTTCTAAGACGTTTTTTCCACACATTCTTTCCGAAAAATATTTCGATAGGTAATCGACGAGATCCTTGCTGCCATCCCACAGGGTAAAACCACCTTCAATGAAGCCAGGTTTGACATCCTCACGTGCGTGAACAGCGTCGAATACATTGAGTTCACTTTTGGGCAGTTTGCGTAGATAATCATCGAGAACAGATTCAGCAATGTACCACAGTTCTGTAATAAAATAATGATAAATAAATTCTATTACTGTCTAGCATTTCAGAAGTACTTAAATATATTTTAAAACAGTCAATTACCTAAAAAAAATCATTGTGAGAAAACGAATACCCTTGCAAATGGTAAGTAAACAACTTAACACTTCATTCTATTACTAAGATACATCCATTTAAGTTAAATGAGACGAGACGACCATTGTTGCTTTTGAAGCATCATATGGTTGCCGTGATAACGTTGATTCAGTAACTTTATTTATACGCGCTCCATTCTAGACTAAAAAGAGACTAATGGAAAAAAGCAATCAAATAAGACAAATTCTCGATATTAAGTCACTTTCAAAACGCATACGCTTAGAAATAAGTGACGGTATTCACGTTACAACACGGCACAAATCCACAAAATTGGTGACTGTTGGTTGTAATCATCCAAAAGAACGAAGAACTTGTTGGAAGGTGGAAGCATTGTTTGGAGACAACTGACAAGGAATGAAATCGACAGATGCCCATAATCGTGCTCAATTTGAATTTCTTATAACTACATAACTACTTCGAAAGAAGTCCCACTCACCGCCTTGTGGCGGGGGCACTGTTTACGAAATTGAGAGAACGAAAAGCGAATAATTGGCGCCAAAACCGGATTGGTGGGCACAGAGGACCCACAGATAATTAATTTCGCTCTCTCAGAACGCCCATTCATAGAAAAGTATACTATTCCACCTAGTTATCAAGTACATTTCTGCATTGCCACGGTTGATATGATGCTTATGAAATATTAGAGTAGAATATAAGATTGGTATTTGAGTCATTTTAATCTGTAGAAGTCACCCTCGTAAAAAATCATCCAATCGGTTTGCTACTGATTATGTAAAGAATATTTCTAAAGCAGAGTACACTTCTCACAATTATTAAATATCAATTTAGTCATGTTTACTTTTTTGCGTTCTCTGGGAAAAAAAGAATCTATAAGGAGCGACCAAGAGATATATCACTAGTTGATTAACTTTGATAATCGGCCGGTCTAACATTTAGTTTTATCTTTGAAAATTCAGTTAATAAATATTTTAGTATATTATCTTACTGTACTGTGAAAACTATCCACCCAGTGTTGATATCTGTTTAGTACAAAGCTTGTTTTAAGTTAGAATCATCTAAATGCAACCACTAATCTCTGAAAGAGATCTGTATATAAAAGTTTTAACTTCCCCATAAAATACGTATATTCGCAGCTAAAATTAGTGTCCCTTCAGTCCTAATAGTTGGGAGTTTACTTGAGAATATTGGGCCTATAGTGTTGGAAAGTAAGTTCATGATTTTGCTAATTGCGCCTACCTATGTTTTTACAATTGCATCGATATTTATAATTGAGCAGCGAAAGTTCAGGTTATAGCACACCTGTTTAGTTTGTAATACGTCATCCATATACTTAAAGCCAAATTATTAAAGTGAGTCGCCTTAAAGAGCACATCAACAATACAACAACTTGAGTATTACGTCTTCTACTGCCTAGTATTCATGGATACCACTCGACTAGTCACAAAATCAAAACATAACTTGGAGAAGAACATAAATATATTAAGGATATACATCCTAAGCAGACAGTAAAGTTTACTTAATAAATTATATATACACCAAAGTGATTATAATTATAATCACCCGTCATAATCACTACATCAAAGTACTTAGCTCTTTGAAGGAGATTATAATTGTTTTAGTATAACTGATCTTGGATTTTATTTGGAATCTACTTAGTGGAAATGTATGCAAAGCTTCAAATTGAAAAATACGGTTTATACCCCTCTTTCGAGCTCCTATTGTCTAATTTGATTTAACTGTACATAGAGTCCGCAATCTGAATCGAGCCCAGGAACAACTTATCTGCATTCAGTTTTAATAATATACTTACACTAGTAGGATCATGAGGAATAAATAACGAAATCAAAGACATATAAAGGAAGGGCTGAGCTTATTTATATTGGCTGATGAATGACCATGTTTTTGGCCAGTGTGATCTGTCTAGGAAGTATATTTTCATATACTCACATTACATTTTAATGGATAGCAAAACTACCCAGGCGCTTAAACTGATCAATCATGAGTCAGTTATGCAAATTCCGGAGATAGCATACGTCAATCATATTAGACTTGATACATGGGTCAAATACTGTGAGCTTTAAAACATAGCTTGGAATAAGACTCCTGGAGATCAAATAAGGGTCAATGATAAGGCGAGAACCATTAATAGATGATTGAATTCAATTTCGAAGTGTGCAAGAGAATTTAGAGGTATCCATGTTTGATACTTTTTAGTCATTATTACTACGACGACATTTCGTCCTGATAGGCTTTAGTGAAACTCGGTTTAGCATTGAGTGTTTCTTTGATATCAGAATGTGACTGCACAGCGTAACTAAACTGCTACAAAGAACAAGTCCGGTTACAGAGTTAAAATAGCGAATGCACTCAGCCTAGTTGACATCAAGATTTTTCTTACGTTAGCTTATCAATGATTTTGTCTAAAACATGTCAGACACAATATATACCATCTAATAGCACGTTTGTTTGGACTTTTTGCATAAATGATGTTATTTTGCAATAAATTAGAATTGTCAGAATATTTAAAACGAGACAATTATTAGTCAGCTTGTTGCATTTCATACTATTTTTTGACTGTAGTTAAATGAAACAGAATCATGTAAACAGACACTAGGAAAGTGAGGCAAGCCAAATATACTGTAAAAGACAAAATGTTTGCTTACTGGATTTACGTTGGTTTCGAGTTACCTTAATAAAAACCATTATAAATACACAGTACACAGTAACACACATAAGCAGATTTGTAATGGATCGTAATAATTTATAAAAATGTATGTAAACTTACTTGAACCGTTTGCGATTGCATGAAAATCTGTGCGCAAACCTAAAACATCTCTGTAAGCTGCGAAACATTGATAACACAGACTCAACTTACCATCACTTAAAGTGAGTGATTGAACTAAGTTAGAATACGTCACAGTGTCATGTCGCTTGAATTCTTTGTCATCACTGTTCGCATAGAATTTAAATTCAAACTAAAAAAGAACACAGAAATTCAAAACCAGACATATACAGTGCACCACAAACAAGTAATACAAATAAACCATACTTTCTGATTCATAACGAAACTGCATTCAGAAAAGATAATGAGTCCCAAGAAATTTAGTTTTTCTGCAAACCACATTTCTAAAACGTGCAGCTGGTCTTCAGTTAGATTGTCACTATGATCTACTGCTATTTAATACATGTCTACATTCCCCTATATACTTAGGAGATCTTAATAACTTGTTCACATACTATCCAGTTTGTAAAAAATGGCTTACAAGATGACGCTTTGGTAGATATTTTAGTTGAAGATTAACTGTTTTGAACCATGAAAACATTGTTCAAGCACAGCCTTTCACATGGTTAACTAACTTTTCTGTCTACACATCACTATGGATGAATATCACCACAGATTTCTAAACAAACATGAACATATATAGTAGTATTTAGAGTTAGTGGTTGCGGTAAAACTGAACTACAAGGGCAATTCAATGATAGACATGGAAATAATAGCAATGAGACGTGGTTAGTATGTGGAATTTAGGACTGAAGTCTACGATTTCACAAGTAACCGATAAAGCGGAAATAAAGGGGAAAATATATTGGAAAATGAAGTGGAAATAATGGGGAAACGTGCCTAAATGTCTGCTTTTTCGCATGTCAGAGGGAGAAAAAATGTCGATTTTCCTCTTTATGTCGCTGAGTTGTTTACTTTTCGCCCAAAATCGACCCCCCCCCCATTATTTACACTTTTGTCTGCTATATTTCCCCTTTATTGGTTCCTTGAGTTGAAGTCTGGTATCAGCATTTATAAGCCCGTGACAAAAGCCTTAACTCAAATCCACGAACACTAACTCTTAACTCTAAATCCTAATCGTTATTCACCAAACTAGCTAATAACCCTCTTTCGATCCTAGTTTGTAGATGAATTGCCTCAAGATCACCTTAACACCACTCAGAGATATTCCACCAGTTACAGTTTTAACTCGATTGACTATAGTCAATCGAGTTATATATATATATATCAATTAAATTCAAATAAGTCATTAATGTCTCGATAAGTTAACCCACATTGCAATGAGAACTGTAATTACCATGACGTTCGAAACGTCTAAAATTTTACATTAATATTCAATTGTGAAAATACAAGGTCAGGTGGCCTATGTTAATCCTTGCCATTTGTAATATTATGATGAGTTGATCTTATTTTTTCCTATCAAACATAGGTACTTATAGTACGTATTCTAGTGGGGAATCCCAGTAATCCAGGACCTCTTGTCGAAATTGAAACGTAAGACGTAAATCATTCGTTGTTCCTAAACGCTTTGAGAATCCCTCTCAAATGATTGGTCGTAGGTAGGAAAAAAGTAGAGAAAATAATAAACGAACTTAATATTTACGATATAATGAATCAATACTAGTGTATATAGTTTAAGGCGTCCTAGTAAATCATAATAACACAGATAATGCAGACCACCCCGAGCTCCCAATTCTGGGAAACGTTTGAACAACTTTCGGTGAATTTTGGGGAAGCCGCTATAGTGAACTTTGGGGAAATATCGGGAGAATAGCACCGAAACCTCAAATTTTCTCCAGGTCTGAGAAAATCCCCAACTATTTCCCGAAAATTCCCCTGTAGGGCCAGTGAAATGTCACTGAGCCCTAGCCAAATCATCCGGCAGTTGGATCACTGAATGTCGAACAGATCATCGCTCCCTGCCAAGGTCATGTACAAGCAACGCGCATTAGTTAATCATACGCCATGGACTGGTCCATGCGGCAGTGGTCTTACTTTCGCCTGTATCTACCTTAACTAATATATTTCTGTAATAACGTCCTTTGTGTTGTACAGTCTTCAAAGCATCTATAGTACCTTGTTACGGCAATGGGGGTAGTCCACGTAAGGTGCTGACCACGAGGTGTGACTTCGATGTTAGTTGGTTCGTCACACTATTCACGTCTAACTCGAGTCGGCCTCCAATCATTTCGACATAGATCATCTACGTTGGTGATCTACACTGGTGAGCAAGACTTCGAATAACGCAACCCATCACTATAATCTTTATTATTGCATTCTATACTTATTCCTTTTCATTTTTATCATCGCCTATGTTAATCTGTCACTGTGAACTTTCGTTGCTTCATGTCAATGTTGATTAGCATTTAAACCTAGATAATTCGTTCAATCGACAGAACTAACCAATCAACTACGATTATAATCGGCTATCGTGGTTCTTTAACAAGCATTAGCAGCATGTAAATGCTCCTGTGTAATATGTCTGTTAAAATATCAACCACTCGTGAGTATAGCCACAAGGCAACACGAACGCATATCTCTTTGTACCTTATCCACTGGTATAAATAAGACAAAATTAACTATCGACTATAAATTCATCTTTCTGCTTAACCACTATCCACTAGAATGTTCTGCTTTTTTTTACCACTGCCTGCCTAATTTCCAGTTGCTGAGTTCCATGGCCAAACAGAGGATACGAATGCTAGAAATTCACGGTGAGTTTGAACTATAAATTTCCTGCGATCTTAGATCTCGTTTAGACTGTTCGTCAGGTAATGCTATGTATTCGGCTTACATTAATTCTGGACTTATACAAATTCAGTCTACAACGTTGTGTTAACCGAAAAATTTAATCAACAGTACCTCGTGCATAATCCAGATTCAAACTACTGCCTACTTCATTACTTAAAGGCAAGAGTAACCCAGGCGAGTTTCATAATTTCATTAGATTATTTCGTACTATATTTATGATGCGTGATAACATTTCGTAGTTGCTTTCACGTAAACTAGTCATATATTCTGTCACTGCCGTCAAGTTTTAGTCGAAATCATGTACATTTATGACTCGTTAGTCGACATACTGTGGTAAAACATATTGCATGTACACGAGCACGCTTAGTCCATGTCCCAAGTACACACGTTGTCGTACTTAATATGTCACTTAACGCTAGGTAATAAGCTCTTTGCATCAGCCTTTTACGAAATGGCCACGTTACCTGGACCCTCTAAACCTTAGTTACATTGGTGGTTACCATTTTAATTAATGTTTATTATACCCCTTGTATTTGCTAATAATTCACACGGTAAATCATGGCTCGATTTCCTTATTACACGACAGTCATTTTAATTCTATTTTCGGTTTATCTACATGCGATACGGGTTTGGAAAATATCTAAACGTCCTCGAAAATTCTCCACGAACCCAACCATAGTTTTTGTATATGTTTTTATTCACACATCCAACTGTTACGCTAATCATACCTAAGCGAACGTTCAGTGCAACTGTCAGTATACGTAAGAACGATGTTATTTAGACTTGACATTGTAACATATCCGAACTATTGTAGCTATTCTACTTCGATGTCGTACTTTATGAAGTATTGTTTCATCGTGGCTGTTATTTAACAGATGATTTCGGTACATCAATCGGCTGTTCAAATACTCGACGATTTACAACCTGTCCAGTTCAATTGGTGGTCTGACGAAAATATCATTCGCGCGAATCATCAGTTTATGCAGTCGAGCGAATCTCCTGCAAACTGAAAACGATATTGTCGCCTCTATCCCAACACTGACAGCGTTTTTCACGGGTATCATTGACATGAGTCCAGAGTGACACTCTTGTTTTCTTATGTTCTTTTCGATATTTTTCTGTTCACTAACCGAACAAACACGCAGCATTCACCGTTTATCATCTTTTAGAGACTTCATCGTGCCACCTTTTGCTGTCGATTTGTAGCCTTCAACCCTTACTGACTGTAACAGCAGTCATCGACTTTTCAAACTGTGACTACAAGTTGGTCAATAGCTTCGCACAACGAAATCACGACCACTCTTCACTGTTATACTTCTGTACTTACGGTTAGTCTGTTAGATATAGATATAACTAGAATTTGACACTAATTAATAGCTGTCAACGACACTGTCCGACTTACAACTTTAAACCAATGACAGTACAAATATGGATATCGATTGATAATACACTTATCCTACTATTGCTATAGCATCATTACTCTTGCGGCAGACTTAACGTTTGTCATCGGAGGAACTGAATTACTTGTCAACGCTATATATTTCAGCACGACTTGATAGAACAATAAAACGTTTTGTTCTTTTCATTATTTCTGTGGTTAATCAATTTACGTTTAAGCAACGTCCTACTAACATATTATGACTCGCTGTTTCCCGACCAGTTTCTGCCGCCTCCTTTCCATTTCTTTTACAGATAAGCAATACCTGGAGGATTTATAATATTCGTTTGGCACTCTCTGGCGCGAGACTGCTCCCAACATGTTTGGTACCGATTCAAACGGCCGTTGAATCTGGTGGGGGAGTATTGTAGGGCCAGTAAAATGTCACTGAGCCCTAGCCAAATCATCCGGCAGTTGGATCACTGAATGTCGAACAGATCATCGCTCCCTGCCAAGGTCATGTACAAGCAACGCGCATTAGTTAATCATACGCCATGGACTGGCCCATGCGGCAGTGGTCTTACTTTCGCCTGTATCTACCTTAACTAATATATTTCTGTAATAACGTCCTTTGTGTTGTACAGTCTTCAAAGCATCTATAGTACCTTGTTACGGCAATGGGGGTAGTCCACGTAAGGTGCTGACCACGAGGTGTGACTTCGATGTTAGTTGGTTCGTCACACTATTCACGTCTAACTCGAGTCGGCCTCCAATCATTTCGACATAGATCATCTACGTTGGTGATCTACACCCCTTTAACCTTGGTCAAGGTCGTTAGACTTTGGAGGTTTCCCCGAAATTCCCCAAACTTGGGAGATTGGGATCCACAATTTTGTCCATCGTCTTGGTCCACTTCCCATGTATGGAAAGCGTCTGACCGTTTGAATCCAATCTTCTGAGTTGCCTTTTGCAAAATGGGTGAAAATTGAGAACAAATTCTAATTTAAATCCTGATATTCTTATTTATCAGAAAATGTCTAGCTGATCAAAACATGTAAATTATCGGGGCTGAAGTCTTGTAGCGGTAACTAAATACTCGAAAGAAACAGCTTTGTAGCGGTAAATAAATCCCCAAAATAAATAGCTCTGCACGTTTTCGACATTGAATGCTGACCACATTAGTTTTAATGGACTCACCAGCTGAAGGCTCTCGGTCATGCATCCGAACCAGATCACGAGTGGGAACACCATGCTCAACAACCCCTTCAATCGCTAGCCAGATTAGTTCAGACGATCCTCGATACATTGATAGCCTATCAAATATATCTTCGAACCTTCTCGATTCTGTCTTTTGATTACACTTGGTGGGTATGATTCCTATTAGAAGGTGTAAATTGTTGAAGCGTTGTCGAACTCCGAATACCTGTGGCATTTTCATTGGTGAGCGCGACGTGATCTGGTACACCAAATCGTAAACTGTGAGTCTGTTCCATTTTGGGATCCTCTATATCATTGCCTTATTTTAATTTTTTATACAAAGGTTAGACCAACTCTTCAATAACATCGACCTGCAACACTGTTCTGCGACGAACAAGTTGCGACGAATGAGAGAGGTTATGGGCCAAAGAACCCTCGATGATGGCCTATTCAAACAACATTTATTATCTAAACTTCCTCAACAGGTGCAAGCTGTGCTGGTCTCGTTTCACAACAACGCCTTAGACGAGCTGGCTGCATCTGTCAACCGCATTATAGAAATCACAAAATCTTCTAATATCGAGGTTTTTCGGTCAAAGAAAAGCCTCAAACGACCCAGAATGATATAAACGACTTATGTCACACACTCATGCGTTATCTTAGTCTTCGTACCGACCGTAAGAGATCGCGCACAGCACGTAGAAGCATTTCTCGTAAGCGATCTGTCTCTAGACCACGAGAGACAGATAAACCCGACTGGTGCTGGTATCATAACCAGTATGGAAAGTTTTCCAGAAATTGCAGAAAACCCTGCAGTCTCCCCAACACGAAACCGACTGATTCGAAAAGCGATTCGGGAAACTTCCAAGCCGGCACGCGTTAACGGCAACCGCAGCCGGCGAACAAAGCCGTCTGTTATTCGTCACAGATGTGACAACGAGAGTTCGCTACCTCGTCGACACTGGCGCAGAAGTTAGCGTTCTCCCAGCAAATCCTAACGACCGGCTTCAGGAATCGGCTTTTAACTTACAGGCGGCAAATGGAAAACCGATCGCTACGTATGGCAAAAGGTACGTTTACCTTAACGTGGCTTTACGCAAACCCATTCACTGGATTTTCGTTATTGCAGATGTTTCTATGCCAATCATTGGTATGGACCTTCTACAACACCACAATCTGATCATCGACACTCGCAAACGGAGGCTAGTAGACGGAAACACTAATTTGTCCGTTTGCGTAACTTCTTTTACTGGTTGCAGAGTATCCCCAGTCACAGTTAAACATATGATAGACCCACTCTATCAACCACTACTCGATAAGTACCCTGGGATACAACAAACTCAACCGAAACTACCGTGTGTAACCAGCAATGTTACACATCACATCACGACTACAGGACCACCTGTATTCTCTAAAGCACGACGACTAGCTGCCAAAAATCTAAGGTTAGCGAAAAACGAGTTCGACCATATGATAGACTTAGGAATCATACGACCGTCAAGTAGCCCATATGCATCTCCGTTGCACATGGTCCCTAAAAAGGACAGCAACGATTGGCGTCCAACTGGTGACTATCGGCGATTGAACGCGAAAACCATTCCCGATCGTTACCCGTTGCCTCACATTCACGATTTGACAGCTACCTTGAAAGGTACAACTGTCTTTTCGAAAATCGACTTGGTTAAAGCGTATAACCAAATCCCTATGGCTACTGACGACATACCGAAAACAGCTATCATAACTCCTTTCGGACTCTATGAATTTTTGCGAATGCCTTTCGGTCTAAGGAATGCTGCTCAAACATTCCAAAGATTCATAGACGACGTTTTTCGAGGTCTCAACTTCGTACATGCGTATGTTGATGACTGTCTAATCGCAAGTCCGGACAGAGAATCGCATCTACAGAATCTGGATCTTGTTTTCGAACGACTACAAAAACATGGCATTACTGTAAACATTCAGAAATGCTAGCTCGGAATTTACCCATTAGACTTCCTAGGACACACTATAGATGCGCAAGGCATTCGACCCCTTAGAACCAAAGCGGCAGCCATTCTGGATTACCCAGAACCGACCACCGTCAAGCAATTACGAACGTTTAACGGCCTTGTAAGTTTCTATAGACGATTCATACCTAAATGAATCATTTATTGAATGTCTAGAGCTTGAACAGTGGACTCAGTATGTCGATAGCCCTACCAGACGTCAAAACATCTTAGACTTAGTCTTTACCAGTGGCCTCATCCCCAATACTTTGTATATTGGAAAAAAGTTTCCGGGTAGTGATCATAACATTGTCACATGCAGCCTTAATACAAAATCCACAACCGGTAGAAGTAAAACCGTAACACTTCGTAGAAATTATCGCAAGGTTGATTGGAATAACTTCCACAATTACCTAAGAACCACTGATTAGAGGGCTTTCTTTACTTCAAACATTACCTACACATTAACCAATATATTTTATCACAACATCAAAAGTATCATCAATAACATCGCACCTTTAGAATACTGTAGACCTACGCCCCCCAAAGATCTCTATATACCGGTCAGTACAAGAAGACGTCTTCAAAGACATTGTTCTCGATTCCAGAACTTAAATGACTTTTCCTCTTTAGTAACGATGACAGAAATACTTGTCCGAACAGAGACAATAAGTAAACAAAAAGCAATCACACAGGAAAAACGTGCAGTTGAACTTAATAATAACTCCTCTGCACTCACCATACTACTCCAAAATAAACTTAAACGCTCCAAATCCAGAGGGAGTATATTCATTAAAGGCATACAAGTATACGAAGATCCCAAACTTATCACAGAATTATTTAGTGAACATTCTTGTTTCTCACTAACTAACGAAAAAACATTTAATGATTCAGAACCAATCCCACTAACTCCCTGTGAAATTACTAATGTAGAATTCAGTGTACAAAATATCTCCAAGGCAATCAGTACATTGAAACACTCCTACACTGATGGACCAGATGGTATTCCATCTAGCATGCTAAAACGTGGAGGTGATGATATGTGTGTTTTGCTTCTCAAACTATTCGCGATATCACTCTCTTCAGTGTGTTACCCTACTGCCTGGAAAACTACACATATCATTCCCAAAATTAAAACAGGACCTGAAGCAAACGTTGAAAATTACCGGCCTATAAACATAACTACAGTGGTATCCAGAGTGATGGAAAAAGTAGTTAAGGCGGCTGTAGTCCAACATCTACTAACTAATAATCTCATCTCGACCTCCCAGCATGGATTTCTTACGTCCAGATCATGCGATACATGCCTAGTAGACTACCTGAATGATATAACTCTGAAACGAGACAGCGGACTCCTTGTATCAGTCCTATTCCTAGACTTTAAGAAAGCCTTTGATAAGGTCCCACACAAAAGGCTACTCGTCAAACTAAAGTCCTTCGGAATACACAACCCACTGTACTCATGGTTTGCTTCGTTCTTAACAGAACGTAAACAGATGGTAAAGTACAATGACTGTCTCTCGTCCCCTAGACCAATCACCAGTGGAGTCATCCAGGGAAGCGTATTAGGTCCACTTTTGTTCCTTATGTACATAAACGATATATGTGACACCACAGAATTTGGGAAACCACACTTATATGCTGATGATCTCAAAATAGTATACAGCTATAAGCCTGAGACACTAAGCGAAAGTCTATCCCAGATCCAAAAGGACCTCAATAACTTAATTATATGGAGTGAAAAATGGCAATTACCATTTAACCTCAACAAGTGCGGGACCATGCACTTTGGAAAGCATCCCTATAAACCGCGACTTCACTTAAATGAAAGTAGAGTCCAAACACTCGAGTCAGTACACCATCTAGAAATTAATTACACAGGAAGCCTAAACTTTGAAGAACATGCCTCCTCTATTATTTTTAAATCTAGACGGTTAACTGGTTTCGTAACGAATACTTTCTTCACAACAGAGGCTATGCTTACCCTCTATAAAATGTGTGTACGACCTTCCCTTAAATACTGCTCTTTTATCTTCTCTAACACGGAGAACACAGACAAGATAAGAGTAGAAGGTGTTCAAAGACGCATCATATGCCAACTGCTAGGAAGTGACTCCACTCCCCATTACACAGATAGATGTAAACACCTCTCTTAAGAACCTTTGTGGCACCGTAGGCTAAACAACCATCTAACATTTCCTTACAAAGCGACATATGGGCTCTCCGTTCTAACCTCCTGCCCGACTATTACCCACGACCCAGCCTATAGACTTAGAAACAACGCATATACACCACATACCGTAAAACATCAAAAACAAATGCGTTGTAAGTTTTTTACAGTGTGGTATAGTTTATTGTAGAACAGGTTGCCAATACCTATCCGTAACTGTGACAGTTTTACCAAATTCAAAAGGCTAATAACCTTGTTACTAGACTGT